GGGGGGGGGGGGGGGGGGGGGGGGGGGGGGGTTGTGAAGGCGCACTGCAGAAGCTCCATCGGGATGAATGTCTACGACGTACAGCGACCGCATGTCGATTTCCATCCAGCGCGACAATCGGACGCGAGCGTCGAAAGCTTGTGGACGCGGGTCTACCGAATCTGCTGCTGGTCAATCTTGCTTTGTCCAGCTTCAGCGTGTCAAAAGAAAAAAGAAAAAGAAAGAAACCAAAAAAAAACCAAGACATCCTCTAAGGCTCGTTGCGAGATGCGTCAAGCAAGAGGATGCATCGAAAGCATTCGATCCAAGTCGACATTGTAGGTTGTCGAAGTAGAGAAGCGTGAAGCTAGGGCATCTTGCCCACGAGCCTTGTGTTGAGGTTCTGCAAAGGTACGTTTGCCAGGCTTTGGTAGCTGATTGTGTTGCTGTAGTTGAGCGTCGTCCGATTTAGAAGCGATCACGCTTCCACCATCAAGAGTCACCGACGTCGATTCATCCTCGCTGTCCGAAGCCTCATCGCTCTCCGCGTCATCCTCGATCAAGCTTGGGAGCGTTTCGATGGAAGATGTGCAAGCTGTCGCTACATGTTCACCACTCAACGATTGACAATCGCAATGAATGTCTTCGCATGAAGAGACGTCCGAAGAGATCCACGACGAGAGTGAAGTCGAGAAGGCACCGGAACCAGAGCCAAATATAGGCGGCGAGTGATTCGTAGACCCGAGCTCTTCGAGCAGATCATCAAAGAAACGCGCTTCATCGTCTTCCCCTTCATCGAGCGTCGAGTTATCGACGGATGCATCGTGAGATTCGTCCAGCCAAGCTAGCTGGTCAAGCCTGCGCTCACGCTCTTCATCTCCAGCTTCATCCTCCAACGCTTCATAGTCGTAGTCGAAAGTAGTGACCTCTGGCAGCCGATCGTAGCTTGACTCTTGATTAAAAGCTGGCAACTGCTCTTGCTCGCGCGTTCTGGCAATGGCGTTGCGAAGCAAGACGCTGCGACGCAGACCTTCGCCTGCGGTTTGATCCAGATAAGACGAGGCGCCAATGAGCGTGGCGCGTCGACTCTTGGCCAGGCGAGCTGGTCGCTCGAGGCGAGAGGAGTCGTCGAAGAAGGTGCGCAGCGACATGATGGGATTGGACTGGCTGCACAACTGCTGTTGTTGCTTGGGCCGCAAGGCGAAATGTTTGATGCGCAGCTGTGTGAGCCGGACAGATGCAGGCCCGTTGAGCCGTGGTGCCGTGGCAGCGAGGTCGAGTGCCCCTTTGGTGGATGCGATCCCAATTCGTCGCAGTGTCTTTTCTTCGAAATCGTCGAGAGCTGTGTTCAAGCTCGAGTGGGATTGTATGCTAAGCAGCGTCGATATGAATCGAAATGCACGCGAAACGTATTCTTTCGATCATGTTTGGTGAGTAAGCAATGAAGCTTCAAGTTTTCCGGCCTTGTGGCAAGGAAAAAAAAAGGAGAGGAGGGTGAGGTGGTGCGAAGGAGGAGCTAGGAAGAAGCTGTTGGCAAGTAGAAAAGCTTTATGCTTTGCTGGTGCGTTGACAGGCTGATTATGGGTCGAACGCTCAGCACGACATGGCCGCGATGCTCGAGGGAGTGGGATGAGTGTGAGTGCTTGTGGGTGCGTTGCGGGTAGATTGCCTGAGCCAATCAAGCTAAGCTATAGCCACACTGCGATCCAGATGGGCGTGGCTGAATTGAGTTGCTGCTGAGTCAAGAGTCGCTTTGCGTGGACTTGCTGCTTGCGGTATGCGTGCTGTCCAACTCTGAAACGAATTTGAGGTCAAACGTTTGAGGTGAATGTGGGGAGGAGAAGTGAGTCTGAGCAAGAGTCAACCAGTCTTTAACTCTCGATAAAGCGTTTGACGCGCGAGGGTCCACGCATGGATTTGTATGACTCACCTACGCGGACAATCACAATTTGAATCACGAATGGCTGCTGATGGTGCTGCGCTGCATGCATGCATGCATGGCATCAGCTGCGCTACAACAGTCCCTAGTCCCTAACGCAAGACGTGAGACCAGCACGCGATAAGATCTCGAAAATCCATCATGACTCGACCAGCATCTGCATGCATGCATGCATGCATGCATGGCGGGCGTCGCGGGCTGAAGCACGTCAACCGCGCCACGCGTGTTGCGCGAGCTCAAGCCACATCACGCGACGCGTATGCAGCTACTGTACACTGTAGGTACTGCTGTACGTGCAGCCGCGTCTCGCGGTGTCGACCGCTCCGAAACGCATCGCATCGCGCCTTACCCAAAGGTGCCGCATTCACCATTTCAGATTCAAGATTGTTCGTGGTATCCGGGCCACGACTCTTGCAGCTGCTGCTTATGCTGCGCGCGCGCAAGGCGTCATCGGGTCAATGAAGTGATGGATGAGCGGTTTGAGTCTGTGTGAGTCATCTCGTTCAACCTTGGCGTAATCAAGGTCATCACGTGATTGGACTCTTTCGTTCATTGGCCCCCTCAACCTGACTGCAAGATCGTCAGGCAAGGAGTGGGTGGGCACGTCATACACGAATTGTCAGAATTGGAAAAGGTCGTGAGTAGCTCAGCTCAGCTCCGATCGGACCATGCCTGACCCTATTTCACGAATCACGCAAGTCATGCATCGTCGAGCTTGGGTCGATCATTCGCAGTTGTGAGGTTGCATGGAGCGGCAAATCTCCGCCCGAATGTGTAAAAGGAAGAGAGGGCATTTGTGCGCGACTTGACTTTTACTCCAAAACAGCTCGTCACTCCTCATTCACAATCCGGATCGAGTCGGCGGATGCCATATGGCGGGGTAACAAACTGACTTTTGCTGTTGCGCGATGGATCTCCCCTCGCAACTCGTGATCAGCCGTCGCACCGACATGCTCCATCTCACGCTGCACAGCCTTACCAAAAGAGCAAAAAGGGGCATTGACATAGCTTCTCGTTGCGAACGTGCCTGCCATCGCGTCACATGGCATTGCTGATGATTGATGGTTCTCTTGGCACATGCAAGGCGCAGCTCTATCCAACCTCGTCCACCTTAGTCCGATGTAACGCAAAAGCCGGCGTGATCCATTCCCCGCTGTATTTGAAGGCCGCGTTCGCCACGTCAGCGTTCATGACCAAGCGTGT